TTCCAGGCTCTACATTTCTTTAATAAGTTTTTGGTAATTTTCTTGTGACCAGAACGAGATCTAAGGTGGCATGTACACTGTGGTTATTTTTTTATTCACTCAGTTTGTTTCTCCCTCAATTGCCTTTAGTTCTTCTATGGGATCTTGCTCAATCTCTATCTCCTGTATAATAATCCCTTTCCTTGTAAATATTGCTACTCTCCTTCATTTCCATTTACCCTGTCTTTTCTCCAAATATTGTAGTCTCGGAGTCTTAATATTATATCGTCTACGGAGGGATCCATTTTGAATTCAGTGATGCATATTACATCTGGTTTATTTCAATAACTGCATATAGTTCTAGTAACTTCGAACATAAATCATATATATTTGTAAAAACTATTTCTATATAATTTTCCGGTATTCTTTTTGGCTGCAAGGCTAATGATTGTCTGTTTCCACATTTCTTCAGTCCTTTGTTCTTTTTTTTTGTTTTTTACCGCTTCCATTTTTCTCTGCAGTATTTCTCTGTCATCTTTGGTCATATTTTCTCTTATCCAGATTTTCTTATATTCTTCGTTTATGGCCGGGACTTTACCTTTCTATATTACATCAGGTACCATTTGCTTACTCGTGAATGTCACCTATAAAGGGCGTTTCTTTCCCGTTTCGAATAATCCCAACCTCCTGCAGGCTATGATATTCTGCTCCGAGTATTCAGGATTTATGACCTTGAGATATGTTTTTCTTCATGCCCCAGTATGACTATGTCCTTGTTTACATCCGCCAAATTTGCAATACTCCTTGCGTGTTGCCCAAGGTGTGGCTTAAATTCATTTTTCTTTAACGTCTCTGCAAGCTGTATTTTTATTTTTCCCTTTGTGATCTTGATGCCTTTTTCAAACGTCTTTTTTTCCATTTCATTTACAGTTTCCTTTACTTTAGATATATCGGCATATGTAGCTGTCATCTTTTTTGCCTCTTCCCTTATTTGAGACTGGCTGCTCGACAAATCACTTTGAATCTCCCTAACAATTTCTTGTACTTTTACTTCATCAACTTTTTTTTTTTTTCTAACAGATTTGACTACTGTTGCTAATCTTGGTTTCCACTTCTTCCACCTTTTCCTGAGTTCATGTCAGACTTTTCAGTATTCTGGATGGTTGTGTTCCTGCGTAAACTATCCGCCAATTCTTTCAGCTCTAACCCACGACAGTTGTCTCTATGCGCGAAAATGCTTACCATGTGGTATTCGCGGTCACTTCTCGCCTCCCTCTCCCTCGCTCTCACTCCCTGGCACACAAAACCTCTTTTTATTTATTTTTTTTTTTTTCACATATTCGTTCACTTTATAATCCAGATTATTCTTTCAACATGAACCTACACAGTTACAGAGCCCATGGCTAGCAGACTTAGACCACCCCCATTGCCTAATCTCCGTATTTAACACGTAAGAGCTGTACTCTCCGTGTGTGTGTGTGTGTGTGTGTGTGTGTGTGTGTGTGTGTGTGTGTGTGTGTGTGTGTGTGTGTGTGTGTGTGTGTGTACATATACATACACACACACATATATATAGAGATAAAAAATATACGTATATGTAAATATACATATGCATATGTATTCACATATACATATTTATATATTTCACCAAAAACAAATATGTACGTTTTTGTATATCTA